ATCACCATGGGAGCAGCCTTCACACCTTTATCCTTGACTCCGCATCAGTGCTGCTTCGCAGAGAAATGTCCCCTGAAGGGGGGAAACCCCAAGGGCCATCGAGCCTGGTAGCCTGTCTCTGACAGTGGTCAGTGCCAGATGCTTCAGAGGAAGGTGGGCAGATGCAGGCTGATCCACCCTCCCGTAGGTCTCGCCCTGCTCTGTGGCAGGACTGCCTGGCATTATGCTCAGGTGGCTTGATCCAGCGAGTGCTGCTTCAGGAAGAGGTGAGTCACTGTCCACACTATGTGTCATTTGAGCCTTTCTGTTAAGGATACACCTCGTTTCCCCACTGGTTTTGTGTTGTGCATTCACCAAGGACAAGGATGAAATCACCCAAAACATCATCTTGGCTTTGTTATCCAAGTACCCAGATATAGTGCTGGGTCCTGGAACCACCCGGGGCCTAAATGCAAATACACTGAGATACGGGCCAAATTCACCAGTGATGTAAGTAAATGGGTGCAGCTTCATTGGCCCCTGGGGCCTTGATCTCGCATAGGCCAGTGGTGCACTTGGGCCCTGTGTGTTTCTGTGGAGCAAGGGGCATGAAGGAATCCCACGGGTTTCTCTCTCTCTTCCCAGAGGTTCTACAGCAACCATCTAACGGTGCACATCTCCCAGAGCAGTGAGCGGCTGCTGTTGCTTGTCTCTGGATACGGTCTGGAGCCACGGCTGGAGTTCACGCCATCAGTGCTGGAGCTGGGGCCTCTGCTGCCGTATGGTGTGGGGGATGAGGCAGAGGTGGTAGTGAAGAACCCATGCAAGTTCCCCATTGAGTTCTACTCCTTGGAGTTTGACCAGCAGTATCTGACTGAGGAGAGGGTGAGAGGAGAGGGAGTCCGGGCACTCCCCTTGTCACTGAAAACCTCAGAATGCTTCAGAGTTCCTGAAGTTCCAACTCTTTTTATTAAGCAGGACCAAGCACTAGAGGCGAACCAGGCAGAGAGCCCAAAGGGCCAGCAGTTGGGATGCTGGCTTCGAGGAGTAGCTGTATTTCATTGCTTGCTTCCCAACTCCCACGGATTATCCCTGTTGGAGTCACTCCCTAGTCCCACAAACCCCTCCCTCCGTGTACTATTCCAGAGACATGCCCCCTTCCCTCCTCCACTGCCCTGTGTCACCAGCGCCTCCTGGCAGAGCAATTTGGAGCAGGTGGGAGACCTTTCACACTGACTCGTAGGGCCAGGAGCAGGCTTCAAGTGAATGGTGTCACAGCGGGTCTCAGGTTGACTTTGATTTACCCCTGGGGGCAGAAAGCTGTGGTCCAGCCCTAGCAGGCCAGCACCTCATGTTACTCTGTAGCCCCATCCGGCAGATGCAGGCAGCTGTGCTGATGGGCTGCAGAGGGGTATGTGGCCAGCCCAGATCAGTTAGAGGGGAAGTCTCTACAACGCGTGGCCTTTGTGGGAGAGAGGAGAAGGAAGAGAGGATATGAGAGGCCCCTGGGCTCTCTCTGAGGCACCCTGGGGGAGGAGGGAATGGATTCCTGGAAGCCTGTCCTATGCCTGTGGCTTCTCTTCTTTTTGGCCACAGATTTTGCGGATGCTGAAGGGCTACGATTCCCATAACACCCTGCTGCTGCCCCCTCGCATCCCAGGAGAGAAGCTGCCTCCGGAGGTGCTGGAGTATTACAAAGACCAGAAGAGGATTCCAGATGAGCAAGCTAAGGCCAAAATGATGGAGGCAATAGGCCAAGAGAATGGTGAGGACTCTGAACAAAGGGCAGCTTGTTCTAGACTTTCAAGGAACAGAACTGTCCAGCATTGACCTTAGCTGTGTCTAGGATTTTCCACAAGGCTAAATGTGAGTGCAAACGCTGGTGGAGGAAACCCAGGTATCCACATGGAAACTGTGTACTAGCTGGCCTTCTATAGGAGGCCTTGTCTGCAGCAGCCAGCCGTTCCCACACTGGCCCCAGTTCTGCTCTGACTTACACTGGTAGGTTTCCATGGACTCTGACGAGACACTCCTGATTTACAGGCTATGAGAGGAGCCGTAGGCCCCATCTGCTCAGTGTACATCACCACGGCTGTCACTCCCCCTTTGTACTGCAGTGTAATGGACTGAGAGCAGAATCCAGCCCTTTAGACTCCTGTGTAGTGCTGGAGCCAGAGCCCCAGTGATGGGATTTCATGGATTCTTTCCATGCCCACCCAGAACTGGCTCTTCCCACCCACTGTTACCTTAAATAATAGATTCGTCCATTCAAAGGCCAGGAGGAGCCACTGTGATCATCTAGTCTGACCGCCTGTACAAGAGACTCCTCCACGTTATGCCTATGTTGCGGAGGGTCACGGGGGAGATGGCCAGTGGATCAGTGGGGCAGTGATTTCACTGGCCCCAGTCTGGCCCACTCTGCCCTGCCACTCCAAGCTCCACTGTGCACAGAAACAGGAGGATCCGCTGAGTGAGCTCCCAAAATCCTGCCTTCCCCTCACTCTGCAGAACCACACCCATCCAACTGCACCCATCAATGCCCCTCCCTGGCTGTGGAGGAAGAGCCCTGCCTCTCACATGATAGGACACAACACATCTCTCAACAGAGACTTACCTGAACCATGTGCAGTTACAGGTAATGAGTCACTACCACACTGCAAGTGCATGAGAGATACAGGCCAGCAGGCTTTAGCAATCCAGCGCATGTATTTCCCCACTATGTTCACACCGTGAAGAGCACTGCTTTTCAGTTCAGCTGGTGGCCGATTGCTCTGTGTGCACCAAATTCCTCTGGTCTGTTAAACAGGAATTAGTTATAAACATAGAAAAGGCTGAGAAGCACGTCTGAGGTCAGATTTCTGAGCATGCTCACTCTGCACCTGGCTGCTATTTTACTTGCTGATTTGCTCGACATGGTTGGACAGTGAAGCTTCCTAGGCAATAAATCAAACTCGAACGTATACAAAAAATAGAGCTCTGTAGTTTTAAAAGCTTGGTGTGAATGTTTGCAAATGAAAGCCCTGATCTAATTCACTGTTCTTCCTGGGATTGTATTATTTATTACTTGTGAATACATGGACAACTGATGGGGCTGAATGGAGATGTCCACGGACCTATGGCTTGGTCTATGTAACAGCGTTAGGTCGACATAAAGCAGCTTATGTCGACCTAACCACGTCAGCGTACACACTCCAGCCTTGCTCCTGCCCTGCCTCGCCGACATCCGAACTCCACCTCCACGAGAGGCGTGGGGCTTATGTCGGAGTAGTTAGGCCAACGCAGTGTCCCTGTGGACACTGGGGGTTACTTACACCGGCTGTTGGCTGTCATTCTCGTCACTTTTACAGCTCCATGCTACAGCCATGAAATAAATTTAGGCTTGAAATTAGACGAAGGTTTCTGACCGTCAGAGGGGTGAAATATTGGAACAGCCTTCCGAGGGAAACGGTGGGGGCGAAGGACCTGTCTGGCTTTAAGATTAAGCTAGATAAGTTTATGGAGGGAATGGTTTAATGGGATAACATGATTTTAGTCAAAGGAACAGCGTGCCATTGCTGGTAAATAGTATAATGGCTAATAAGGGTCAGGCTGGAGAATCTTGCCTACGTGCTCGGGGTTCTACTGATCGCCATATTTGGGGTCGGGAAGGAATTTTCCTCCAGGGTAGATTGGCAGAAGCCCTGGAGGTTTTTCGCCTTCCTCCGCAGCATGGGGCAGGGGTCGTTAGCTGGAGGATTCTCTGCTAATTGAAGTCTCTAAGCCACAGGATTTGGGGACTTCAACAGCAGAGTCAAGAGACAGGGTAGGGACGGCTTTGTGGCCTGCATCATACGGGAGGTCAGACCAGATGATCATAATGGTCCCTTCTGACCTTAAAGTCTATGAGTCTAAACAGGAAAACTAGCGGGGAGGAGCTCCAGCTAGAGTCCAGTTTTCCCCAGGCTCCCTGCCAGGCTGCACCCACCATGCTCCAAGCCAGGCTGCCCCCTGGGGTCCTGGCTTCCCCGAGGCTCCCCATTCCCTGCCAGGAGCCCAAGGGCTGCCCCCACCCCGCTCTCTACTCCACACCCCCTGCAGGGAGCACAACAGCAGGAAGTGAGCACCTGGGCTCCCGAGCAGGGATCTGAGAGCCCCGGGAGCAGCCCAGCTTCCGGGGGGAGCCCAGGCTCTCAGACCCCCACACTGCCTCTCAAGGACACGCACCACCGACAGAAGAAGGGCAGTGTGGCCATGAACCACCCCAGTAATTACTGCAGTAGCTGTAGACATGCCCAATGAACATTTGACCAAAAATTTCTGCTGCAAGGGCTGTTATGTGCTTTCATCATTTTGTACTAGCTGCTCTCCAGCTGTGAAAGTTTCAGTCACCCGATACTGAGGCAGAAATCATATTATGTGATTGACCACAGAGTCCCTAGTCAAAGAGAGCTGTTTGAGGAAAAGCCATGAGGTGAAATTCCCCCAGGGGCAGTGGACTGCATGTGGCTTAGGCATTGCCTGAACCTAGCTTGTACAGCAAGGCAATAACAAATGTCAAATGATGAATAGCCAAGTACCGCCTTGTCTTCCTGCACTCAATCTCTCTTCCCTTCCCTCCTCTTCTTTCCTCTCCTTCCCCCTGAGTAGATGACGAAGAGAACCCATCTCTCTCCGAGCGCAGAATGAAGCAAAACCCTTCTGGGACCACGCGCACTGCCTCCACCACTATCACCATCTTTCCCTCCATTTCCATGTTTGAGGAAAGCCGTTCTCACAAGGTGGAGTCTAAATTAGAGCAGGAGGAAGAGGAGGAGGAGGAGGAGGAAGGTGCTGAAAAAGGACAGGGGCTAGGTAACCACTCCCAGCTCTCCAGCAGTTCACCATTCATCATGGTGGGAATGGCCCTGAGAGGATTCGTGTATTCCCTCAATCATTTCACTGCAGACTTGGCCTCCTAAACTGTCACGTTCTGAAAGTCATCAGGCCTCAAATCCTCTCCTCTACGTCATGCCTATGTTGCCGGGCTGGAGGGTCACGGGGGTGATGGCCAGTGGATCCGGGGGGCAATGGTTTCACTGGCCTCAGCCTGGCCCACTCTGCCCTACCACTCCAAGCTCCACTGTCCACAAAAACAGGAGGATCTCCTGAGTGAGCTCCCAAAATCCTGCCTTCCCCTCACTCCACAGAACCACACCCATCCTACTGCACCCAGGCTCCTCCCTGGCTGTGGAGGCAGAGCGGGATTTTTTTCTCTGGTTGTGCAAAATCTGCACCCTCTCAGATCTGTGGTTTTGCACCCGTGTAACATAGTCTGGGATCCTTCCCTTTCCCCGAACAGGGTCCCCAGACTCTCAGCTGGACCCCTCATGATCCTTCCATTTGCTTCCATGTTAACTCCCCTTCTCCTTACAGTGTTCGTTGCCACTGACTCTGGAGGGCTGTCTGAAACTCCTGCCTCACTCCCTCATATCACCACTTCTCTGTTGACCAGAAAGGTCACTACTGAAGCATGGGAGGTGCTTTTCCCCTGCCAGTGCCCAGCTTCGCCATCATTCTCAGCTCTGGACACTTGGAGACTGAGACCACCACCAGGATTTGAGTGTGGGTCTCCTGCATGGCAGTACAGAGCATTCCAGCAAGGGCAGCTCTGTCACTGTCGTGTGTGTGTGGCAGCTGCTTACCGTGTCACGAGCCAAGGTGTATGGCACTCAGTGGGCTAGTAAGGGAAGAAGCTGGGAGCTGTAAAGAAGCAAATGATTGTTTGCAAACACTGCAGTCGATTCATAGAAGGGCCATGAAAATAACCTTCACAGTCAAATCTCCCTGTGTTGTGTTTTCTTAACCATTTGACTGAGCAGAAGAGGAAAACAGGTCTCTGCTGGAGATCATTAAACTGCAGAGGATTCCTGCAGGGCCTCAGCAGTCTGACTCCCATAGCAAATTATTTGCTTGGTCCACACGTTATGGTCCCAGAATTATGACCGCATTAAATGTCTGTTGCTATGTGCCTGGTAATTATACTACATATGCCCTGGGATCAAATCCACAGGTGCTGCCAGGTACTCAGTGTGATGTCATTTCCTGTGGTGCTGTTGGATAGTGGGGTGTATTGGGGTGTGACAGAGCAGGCAGAACCATTTGAGTGTTTATGGCCGACAGACTGGCTGTTCGTTCCCCGCTCTGTCACCCTGTTCACTTACCTTCCAGCAGCCGGGACACTTGCAGCAGTGAGATGATGTTCTGAGAGGACAACAGGGAGCGCCCGGGAATGTCTGAGCACCCTTAGCTGAAGGCAGGATTGAGGCCTTGTTGTCCCCACTTGGCGAGTGTCCTTTTCCTGAGGACTTTCCCAAAGCACTGAGTGCACTGTTAGGGAATGGGGAAGGATTCTCTGAGACACTGGCATCTGGAAGAGTCATCTGACCCCTTGTTTCTCTGTGGTAGAGTATCAGCGAAGCATTGATGGCAGCTGCAAAGAGGCTGTTGGAGAACTAGACAACAACCCAATTTCCAGAGCCATCGCACGCCACCTTGGCATCGATATCTCTCCAGAAGGCCGTGCAGCCAAAAACCGCAGAGGCATTGTCATCATAATCCATGGTGCTCCCCTTACAGGTGCAGAGACTGTTCTCTTCTGGCCAGGAGGATGGTGGGAGATGAAGGGAAAGGCAGGAAAAATGATCTCAGTTGCTACAACAATGATAAATTCTTTCTGATTGTCTTCACCGCGTGGCCTGGAGCTGGGTAGGAGACTAAGATCCAACCCAGTGTTAGCTGGGCCTGAAATGGAGAAAATAAAAGTCCCACTCTGAGATGGAAGTTGGGCCTGAGTCTCCCCTCAGTTACCCCTATCTGACATTAGCATAACACCTTTCACATCAGTGGAGTTAGTTGTGATTACACCAGTATAGGTGGGAGGAGAATTTGTTTGGCAGACACTAGGCCGCAGTGGAGCAGACATGGCAGCTCCAAACCCTGGAAGTGGAGGGCCCCATCTTTGGGGAAGGGAGCTGGGGAGGATTATGCCTGAGTGCACTTTGAATTTTCCTTTCAAATAACAAACAAACAAACACCCTTTGCCCCAATTTGTACCAGGATCAGCTTGGTGAGAACAAACTACACCCCATCTAGTGGGGAAAGACATCTCAGTGCAGCTGGTCTGAAGAGAGGTGTAAATGGTGACGCACGGATTTGGCATTCCATGGGTGTGCAAAACAGGGGTCACTGACATGGGGGGAGAAGCTAGGCGTGTACAAGAAAAGCAGCTAGTGGAAGGCTAGAGATAAAGCCTCCCCTGGTGCTTTGTCTAATGCTCTAAGGGACCTCATTTTCCCAGACCCTCCCATCTTCCATAGCCTTGTGTGTAAGTTACACTAGTTCTTCTTCAAGTGCGTGCACGTGTCCATTCCGATTTGGGTGGGTGCGCGCCTGAGCACAGCTGTCGGGAATATTTTCCCCAGTGGTATCCGTCGGGTTGGCTCTGGTGCCCCCAGGGGCCGGTATAAGGGGCCTGCTGAGCCCATGCTCCTCAGTTCCTTCTTCTTGCCCGTGATGGCTGTTGAAACTCCCCTCTCCCTTGGCAAAACATGATAGTGGTTTTCTCTTCATCTACCTGTAAATAGTTGTTATGAGTTAGATTAATTTTTGTAAGTTTTAGTGTGTTATAGTAGGACACCTCTCCACGTTTGGAAAGGAGGTCCCGCCCTCTCCCCCCCACCCTGGTATCAGGGCATGCCTCAGTCGCTGTGGTTCAAGGTGTGCTCCGCCTGTGGGAAACCTATGTCCACCAGTGACCCACACTTGAGCTGCCTCGAGTACTTGGGGGAGGGCCATAGGACAGACTGCTGCCAAATCTGTCAGGAGTTTAAACCCCGCATGCAAAAGGACCAGGCAGCGAGACTCAAATGGAGACGGTGCTAAGACTGACCTCAGAGCTGAGATCCGACTCGGCACAGAGCACATCTGCTCTGGCGCATAGTGCACCTCCGGATGATATAGAAGAGGCATCATAGACACCATGAAAAGAGCCATTCACTGGCACCGGAGGGAAGCAAGAAAGGAGACCAAGATAGCAAGCCCTGGGGTGGCCCGCTCTCCCTCTCCAGCACGGCAACAACCACCGCTCCCAACAGCCACAGCGGTACCGCAAACCCTGCAAAGGGAGCAACACCGCCCCGCAGCACTATGCTGACCAACTTGCAGTCCCTTCCATGCTGGCGGAGAGACACTTGTTGACTCTGCCAATACCAGGATCACCTGGCAGCCAAGATGCAGCGCCTCCGGCACCACCCGGTGGCATGCAGGTCTACACTAGTTCCAGACCGGTGCTGAGACCACTTTCCAGGGGCAAGCCTATCCTAATCGCTTCACCTGCGACATCGCTGCGGCACTTTTCCCCAGCACCAGGAGAATCGGCACCACCATGGTCTCCCTGCTCCTTGTCGCTTCTGGTCCTCTTCAAGGTCGGACTCGGGACCCTGTTCCGTGCACTGACGGGACTGTCGGCGCTACAAACACCACTCCCCGTGCCCATCAGTGACTGGGAGCACCAGGTGCAATGTTGTCACAGAGCGCCTGGCCCCTGGATCCATGGGGATCGATTCCCATGCAATGGCCTTTCTGGAACCCTGGGGCTTTCCCCTGAGTCAAAGCTCTAGCTTGTGGTGCTCCTACTCAGTTATATAAGAGAGTAGGGCGCCGCTGGTGCTGCACCGAGGGACCTTGGAAGCATCAGCTGGTACACGTGCAGAGGGCTGGCCCGGTACCAAGCCGGTCACTGGACTCCGCACACAACCCAATACTGGTCCCGGTGCACAATCCGGTACCGAAGTCAGTGCCGATCAGCAGGCACAGGTTCCCCAGGCAGAGGAAGAGCTGGAGGTGGGGAGAGCTTTTCGTGCCCTTTCCTCTTCTTCACCAGAGGAAGAAGTGGTGTCAAAGGGGTTGTCTCCTTCTCAGGATGATTTAAGGGCCCACCAGGACTTACTGAAGCAGGTGGCGTCCAATCTGGGCTTACAGGCAAAGGCCATCGAGTAACCATCCCAACGTTTCTTGGACTTCCTGGCAGCAACAACGCCTGCAAGAGTCACCCTTCCACTGCATGAGGCAATTATGAAGTCCATCAAGGTCCTCTGGCAGACCCCACCCATTGCCAAGAGAACTGAGCAGAAATACTTTGTGCCTGCCCAGGGCTCTGAATTTTTATTTTCTCCCCCTCCCCCTGGATCACTCATGGTGGCAGCGAGAGGGACCCTCAGGGCCAGACGGGACATACATTAAGGGCAAAAGACCCCCAAAAGTTGGACCTGCTTGGGAGGAAAGCATATTCAACGGGAGGTCTTCAACTTCACATAACAAACCAGCAGGCTCTGGTGGGTCACTATGATTTTAATATGTGGGAGACTATGAGCAGATTTAATGACAAACTCCCCCAGGACAATCAGCAGGAGTTCTTGTGGATGAGGGCAAGTCGGTTGTCGGCGCCTCCCTGCAAGCAGCCTGGATGCGGCTGAATTTGCGGCGCAGG